AAAAAAAGAAAAAATTTTCTCCCTCCCTGATTGCAAATACTTATGTTTTGTATGCTCTCTGTTGAAAATTCAGAACAGACACAACAAAATTTATTTTGGGGGGTTTGTTTGTTTTGAGACACGGTTTGACTCTGTAGCCCAAACTAGCCTTGGACTTACAGCGATCTTCCTGCCTCAGCCTCCCAAGTGCTGGGGATTACAAGTGTGGGCCACTATGGCTAGGCCAGCCAAAATATATATGTATTTTTATCCAGACTGTAAAAATCACCTAGTAAGCCAGGCCTGTGGTGCATGCCTGTAATCTCAGCCCTCTGGGAGGCTGAAGAAGGGAGATAAGAAAATTCAAGCCTAGCCTGGGCAATTTACTGACTTAGAAGACCCTGTCTGAAAAAAAAAAAAAAAGTCCAGGGGGATGTAGCTCAGTGTGAAGGCCCTGGGTTCAACTCTCAGTACTTCCAATAGGGGAAAGAAAATCACCTAGTAATCTCACTAATCAAGATGATATTGTTTAGATATTTCCTTCAAATCTTTTTTTTTTACCCCGTATATCTTTTTGTATAATTGGTATTATACTTAATATAATTTAGTATCCATGTGTTTTTCATTAGACATGAATATGACTAAAGATTGCACTTGATCTTCGCCAAAAGGCTGAGAAGCGATATGACTAAAGATTGAACTACTGTGTGCCAGGATATTATTTACAAATATTCTTTTTCCCCTTTTCAGAACAATCCACATGTACTTTCAGCAAATTAAATAACTTTTTACTTTTTTGCTTTGTTTTCTTTTCAATCTTTTTCTTTATATGCAGCTTTTCAAAATCCAGAAGTTCAGCCACATTTTGTTTCATTTTCCATCAAAGTGTTTAATGTTACTGCTGTTTTCACACATCATCAAGAGTAAAGTTTTTCATTTTGTGTTCAGTAGTGGACATTGACTCCATGGCCTTTGTGCTGAGCTATATCCTCAGCTTTTAATTTTATTTTATTTGGTACTAGGGATCAAACTCGGGACCTTGTGCTTGCAAGGCAGAGCTCTTTTTATTTTATTTTGAGACCTGGTCTTGCTAAATCATCGCTAAATTATTTAAACTGAGTGTGAACTTGTGATCCTCCTGCCTCAGTTTTTCAGTGTGCTGGGATTGTAGACCAGTACCAACAAGCCTTGCTAAGTGTATAGTTTTTAATGGTTGTTATCACTAATCTGAAATTGATTATATAAGTTGTTTTTAACCTTTCACTGTTAAAATAATGAGAAATTCATCTTAATACCCAAATTTTGAATTAATTCCTTGAGAACAATTCCTAGAAATGGAACCCACAGAGTAAAAGGATGAAATGAACAAAATATTAACTGTTGGGAGCTAAGGATGTCATATAGTTGGGTGGTAGAGGACACACTTGGCATGTGAGGTCCTGGGTTAAATCCCCGGGACTCCCTAAAAAAGGTTAAAGTTGTTTTCAAAAATCAATTTTTATAGTACTTAGTTTTCCATTCAAAGATATAGTTACATCTTTCTGTTTATTCAGATTATTTTTTATTTTTTATTTTTTTCATTGCTGGGGATGCAGCCCAGGGCCTTGAGCATGCTGAGAAAGCAGTTGTAACTGAGTGTGTCCCTACACAGTACTTTTATGTCTTTATATATACCCTGTTCTTCCTTGCTAAACTTACGTTTAAGGAAAGACCAGTGTTATTTATTTTTTATTTATTGCACTTTCTCTACTAATTCCCATGCATGGGATGAATATGTTTGGGTCAAGTGTGATACTTTATTATTTTCAATTATATTTATTTATTTATTTATTTATTTATTTATTTATTTATTTATTTTTGAGACACGGTCTCACTATGTAGTTGAGACTGATTATTTATTTATTTATTTATTTATTTATTTATTTTTGAGACAGGGTCTCACTATGTAGTTGAGACTGCCCTAGAACTCACTATGTAGCCCAGGCTGGTCTCAAACTCACAGTGATCCTCCTGCTTCAGCCTCCGGAGTGCTGGGATTACAGGCGTGCAGCGCCACGCCTGGCTACAATTATATTTGTCTCCAGATTCTGCTAAAATTAAAATAGATCAGAAAGCTAAAAAACTAAGGTGCAGTAAAGTTTAATTAATACTGTAAGTAGCCTATGTTCCAAAACTTCCTAATATTCTGCTCCTGGTTAAGTCCCTCAGTCACGAGAGTGACCCTCTCATCTGGACAGGCAGGGGATGAGGCAGCTCCTGTGACCATTTCCCAGGCATGGGAAAAGAACTAGAAACACCTCAGCAGGGTTAGGAAAGCACGAGGAGGCCAAATATGTTTGGCAATGGATTTTTCTTTCTTTGTTTTTCCTTTTTTTGGTATCAGGGTTCATGAATTTGGGACCTTGTGCTTGCAAGGCGGGTGACAGAACCACTGAGCTAAATCCCAGGCCTGGCAATGGGTTTTTCTAATTTACTGTTCATTATCATTTCATAGTATCAATTTACTTTCACTTGTTAGCAAGTCTGTTTTTTAAGAAACAAGTCACAATGTTAAATTTTGTTTAGTTTTGTTTGAGACAGGGTATTGTCTAGGTCAGCCTTGAACTCACTATGTAGGCCAGATTGGCCTTGAACCTCCATTGTTCCTGCCTCAGCCTCCCTAGTGCTGGGATTACAGGCGTATACCACAATGTTAGACTAATGTTAACTTTTATAAAAGAAATCTGTTGGTCTTTTTAGGTTTGGTGCGATAGAAACCTGCTTGTCTATGAAATGCAGTTAACACATCAGCTGGACCTATTTCCCGAATGTAGGGTGACCCTTCTGTTATTTAAAGATGTAAAAAATGCTGGAGACTTGAGAAAAAAGGCCATGGAAGGCAGCATTGATGGTTCATTAATAAATCCTACAGTGGTAAGTACAAAGTTTGAAACTGAATGAACCGTAAGGGGATTTTTTCAGAGTATGTTAATTTTTCATGATATAGTTTAGGCTACAATTCTATCATTTTAAGATAAAAAGTTCTTGTCAAAGTCAGGCTTAGCCAGCCTTGAACAAAGAATGGAAGCAGAAGCTCCAGGCCCTGCCCTGAAGAAGAGAAAAGGTTATGGTGTAGCTCTGACCACAGTGTGGTCTGGCACATGCCCAACTGTCCAGCTTCTTGTGTGTGAAATGAGGGTTCTGAACAGGACAGTGTCTGTGAAGACGATACGGCACAGTGGTTAAGAGCACACACTATGAGGCTGAAGTACTGGGCTTAATGCAGCTCTGCCACTTCCTATAACTTTGAGCACGTTGTAGCAAGCACTTACATCATGTTTACCCTGCCCCTGGCGTTGTACTTAGTGCTTTCTCTAACCTAACTCACTTCACCTTCAGCAGCCTTACCAAGTAAGTACTATTATTTTTTGCCTAACAGATGAAACACTAGGAACTTGCTCAAGTTCTCAGGGTGGTAAGTGACAGAGCTGGGACTCATCCCAGATGTTCTTTATTTCAGTGACTTCATCTCCCCCCCTCCCCCGACACCAGGGATCAAACTCAGGACCTTGTGCTTTTGAGGCAAGTGCAGCGCCACTAAGCTAAATCCCTGGCTTGTATTTTTTTTGTTATTTTTTGTTTTGTTTTGTTTTAAATTTTATTGGTACCGGGGATTGAACTCAGGTCCTTGCACTTGCAAGGCAGGTAGCAGCACCACTGAGCTAAATTGCCAGCCCTGACTTCATCTTTTACATGTGAATAATACTGATTTCATTGAGGAATATGAACACTGTAGGCAGTAATACAGGTAAAATATTTAGAATATAGCATTTCCCTTCTTAGCCCTCCATAAATGTTATTTCAAAATCTCTTCTTACTATTTAAGTTCCTCAAAGCTTTAAGATTCTGTGTTTGTTTTTTGGGCCATGGTCTTACTATGTAGTTCAGGTTGGCCTTGAACTTACCATGTAGCCCAGGTTAACTTCAAACTCAGTGATCTTCCTGCTTCAACTGCCCAAGTGCTAGAATTACAGGTGAGTGGTACCACATCTAGCTAAGATTCTATAATTTATTTTTTTTAACTATCGAGGACCTGCAGATAACAGTTTTGAAAATATGTTCCACATAAGTCATATGAAGTAAAACTGCATACCAAAGTCACCATAAGATAGCAGTATATCTTTAGACTTTCAGATTGTCCCCATGCAATTTTTTTTCCTCCCCATTAATTGTTTTTATTCTCTTTGGTAGATTGTTGACCCATTTCAGATACTTGTGGCAGCAAACAAAGCAGTTCACCTCTACAAATTGGGAAAAATGAAGACACGAACTCTATCTACTGAAATTATTTTCAACCTATCCCCAAATAACAATGTAATGTGGAATTTTTTTAAAAATTTTAAAATTTTTTTCTGGTACTGGGGATCGAACTCAGGAACTTAGGCTTGTGAGGGCAGGTGCGGTGCAACTGAACTAAATCCCCAGCCCAGTGTGGAATTTATTGTCCATATTTCTGTTGCCTTTGTCATAATAACATATATTTTCTTTAGGGTTGGGGTGGAGGTTAAGTTCTAGGAAACTAGTTGTTAGTAATAAAACAAAATAATCACAGTGCTCTAAACTGAGATTTGAGGTTTAGTGCTACCTAGACAAATAAGCTTTGTAGTTAGTTTCAATCTGAGTAAACAAAAGTTTGGCCAAATTAAATGAAGCTAGTTTTGCCTGTGGGTTTAGGAAGATCTCTCAAGTATTTTTGCTTAACAGATTGACAGAAATCCAAATGATAAAAATTGGACTTAGACATTTTATACATTAATGCATGTCTTTCACTCTCCTGTAAACTCTTGAGGGAATGATGCGTGTCTTTTTCATAAACAGTTCAGGAACTTGCTGTTTCCTAAAACAGTCCTAAATCCATGCTCACTCACATACTAAGTGCATGAGAAGATTTTGTGGTTTGAAATACTCATAGGATTTCTTCTTTAATAAAAATTATTGAGGGCCGGGGATTTAGCTTAGTAGTTCTGTCACCTGCCTCACAAGCGCAAGGACCCTGGTACTTGATCCCTGGTACCAAAAACAAACAAGTTGAGCTGACAACATTCCACATGCATGTAGCACATGAAAAAAATGACTGAAATATTGCTGATAAAGTTCTAGTATTACCACTAGTTATTAACACAACTAGCTACTAATACCATCAAGAGAACATCAGGAAGCTTGTGGTTTGGTCAAAGTAGAGATGACTGCAAAGTTTATAAAATGCAGTTATCTTAGCATAGTAATAGAATTCCCCAGTACCTGCAATAAAATTTAACAGGTCACGATTGTTTCTTAGAGATATTTTGAAATAATTCAGGATGCTATTCTTATTCCAGTTCTGGTTCTAGGAGCAAAAGAAGCAAGTATGTTTCTGAGGAAAGGCAGATAAAATAAGACAAGTTAAGTTGCCTTAAGTTATATGACATAATTGGAGTATGAATGCACTGGTAGGAGAATGGTGAAGATACTCATTCTGGAGGGAGGAGAATGTGGCAGTGAGAGTGGCCCTGGATCCTCAAACATTTATTGAGCAGCCAAGCCACAGAGCGAAGGGTGATGGACAGAGGACAAGACATAAGCATAGGCGGAAGGGTACAAAACACAGCAGGAACCGCAGACTGGCTGGTGCTAGGAACATGTGGGTGGAAGGTCACTTGGGCCAAAAGGTGGTGCTGCTTCCATGCTGTGTGGAGGAATAGGGCCTTGACTTTGTGGGAGCAAGGTGCAGCTGTAAGCAGGCTGATCATTAGAGGCCAAAACAGTAGAAGCTGGGAAGGGATTATTAAAGGATTATGGGAGGGAAAAACTAGGAAAAGCGGGAAGCACTTGTCTAAAGAAGGCACATGAAATGTTTCAGATCTAGTTCATTCTTTGTTTTTCTTTTCCTTAGATTTCAGAAGCTTTGAAAAAATTTGGTGTCTCAGCAAATGACACATCAGTTTTAATTGTTTACATTGAAGAGGGAAAAAACCAAATAAATCAAGAGTACCTAATATCTCAAGTGGAAGGTCTTCAGGTTTCTGTGAAAAATCTTCCTGAAATAACAAATATTTCAGAAGTCAAAAAGGTTTGTAAATTTACATTGTTAGAGTGTGATAGTTGACTAATGCTGATGCTGTTTATTGGTCAACAATGGACCTAGCCAGGTATGGTGGCCCACGCCTGTAATTCCAGTTCTCTGGAAGCAGAGGCAGGAGGATCTCCATGAGTCCAAAGCTATCCTGGGCTACATAGTGAGTTCAAGGCCAGTCTGAACTATGTAGCTAGACCCTGTCTCAAAAACCAACAAAAAACAGGCCGGAGATTGAGCTCAGGGCCACCCTGCACCTGCCTTGCAAGTGCAAGGTCCTGAGTTCATCCCCAGGACCAAAAAAAAAAAAAACCAAAACAACAAAAAACAAAACCATGTACCTATTCATTTGGCCTTTTAAGAACTGTTAATATTTTAAATGATTTAAGAATAATTACAGATGAACTAGAAGGTGCATGTAAAGTACAATTAGAAATGTATTGATAAAAACATTCTCTACAAAAGTGAGTAGCTATGGATACATATTGAAGATATACTCCTAAGTGAAATAAATAAGGCACACATGTGTAAATACCAAATAGTCTCTCTGGTGTGAATAATCTGCAATAATACAGAAGATCCTAATAAGATTACTGACATTGAGAAATGGGAAGAAAGGAGCTAAAGGTGTAGGGAAGGTGGGACGGGTGGGGGAAGGGTAATAAGGGAAAAGAAAAAAATGTGAGATAATGAAAAGATGAAAATAAAGTGTTTGTAGATGGGGAGGGGCGGAGGGGATGAAGGGAGGGCAGGGACAAGGGGAAAAAATGAAAACCAAGACTTGACATGTAGAGGTACAAGATCCCAACAATGAATATAACTGTACTGTATCCCTAAAATGTACCAGTAAACTCAAAGCTGAAAAACAAAACAAAAGTGAGTACCTTTAATTCTCAAGGTTATATAGTACATCTAGAATATTGACTGTAGTATAAGTTAGTATCTAGATGAGTGCTTTTAAAAATGATACAAATAGGGCCAGGGGTTTGGCTCAGTGATTCTGCCACCTGCCTTGCAAGCGCAAGGACTCAAGTTTGATCCCTGGTATCCCCCCAAAAATTGATACAAATAGAGTGGGGATGTAGCCCAGTGACACTGCACTTGCCTGGCAAGCCTGAGGTCCTGAGTTTGATCTCCGGAACCAAAAGTTGATGCAAATACGTTTTTATGTACAGAGAGTGTTTATGTTCTAACTACATTTTAAAAGAAATATTTGAGATAAGCAGTGAATTTTCATATGCTTTGAATATTTTAATCACATCTGTGATTCATGATTTCATATGATTAACCCAATAATTGAATGAAAATTTCACTTATCAATGTTGGTAGAATGACAATTACTAGTGCATGAATGTATCAGAAGGATATTATTTGTCTCTCATTTTTACAGATATATAAATTGTCACAAGAAGAAAGCATTGGGACATTATTGGACAGCATCATTTGCAGAATGTCAACAAAAGATGTTTTGTGAAATGTTAGAAATATTAACAGAAATTGTCATCATTAAAGAAAACACTTTTTTATCGCTACATTTGTATATATTCAAATACTTTTATGTAATTAGAAGAAAAATTGCAACCATTTATTGAGCACCTACAGTGTGTTGGGTTCTTACTTTAGCAATTCTATATCCACCAGCTCACATCCCACCCCTACTTCAGCCTACTCCATCACTCCCCTTCTGAGCTTCTGGATGCTGTTTTGTATTTTATGTGTATTTAATTCTCACAGCAGACCTACAAAGTGCTTTTACTCCCATTTTATATAAGGAGCAACTAAAAACTTGTAGAAACAATCTGAAAGCTCTGGGTTCAATCCCTAATACCACCAAAAAAAAAAAGGTGAGAAAAAAGAAAGCAGTTGAGGCCTGGGGCTTTTGGAGGGGTTCCTGGTGACACAAATTACTGCGAGGTAAAGGAAGGAACTATATTTTGAGTAAAAATTGTTAGGTTAAAAAAAATTGTAGCACTATTAAGTCATTTAAGGTCACACAACTAGAGTATAGTCGTGTTTGATAAATAATTGGATTTTCTTGTCACCTGTGTTTTTTATTGTGTCAGTCAAGATAGGTTTGATCAAGACTCAGCAAACTCTCTGAACATGGTGGTACACATCTGTGATCCTGACACTCAGGAGGCTGAGGCAAGAGGATTACTGTATGCTTGAGACCAGGCTGGGCTACATATTGAGACCCTGTCTCCAAAAACAAAAGAAACAAAGAAAAAGATAGCAAATGAACTCTTTCATGAAGAACAAGACATAAAAATTTTCCTCTTTGCAGACATAATCCACTGCAACTACTCAACTACATGTTATACAAGTTATAGTACTGAAGCAGCCACAGACCACCCATAAGGACGTGCTGATGTCACATGATTTACAAAATATGGTGGGCAGGATTTGATTGGAGGTCTAGTTTGTGGACTTGTGGGTCAGTTAGGCTGCAGTAACAAACAGTTCCTAAAACTGGTTGTATACAATGGAAAATTATGTCTTACTTTTTCTGCAGAGACAACACAAATCAGTAGGAAGACTCACTGCAGTGACTTAGGAACCCAGGTGCTGTAAAGCTTTGGTATAGAAGTGATAGACGTCATTTATCTTTGTTTTTAAAGACAGAGTCTCTCAGTAGTTCAGGTTGACCTTAAATTCTGGGCTCCTCCTGCCTCAACCTCTGGAATGCTGAAATAGGCGGGCAGTACCACCCCTGGCAGATACTACTTATCTTGTTTCATTTTAAATTATTAAAATTTAGGTGAAGATTATGTTCTTTCCACTGCATCTCATCAGGAAGTATACAATGCCTGTAATTTGACCATTTGGGTAAGGTGTTTCTTTGCTAGGTCTCTGTATTATAAAAGCATCCTTTCCTGCAAAGCTTAGAGAGTTGAAGCTGAATCTAGATCTCAAATGCTATAGTTAGAATTAAAACTCAGATCTCTGGGTTACCGCATATCCTTAATGCTGCTGCTTACTGGGCTTAAAAACATTCTTTCCAATTGATGTGCAGTGAACCACATATGAAATTGTTCTATTTTTACATATGTCATTTAAATTTTCTGTTTTATTTTCTTGCTAAAAAAACTCTGTACATATTTCTATATTCTTATGACAGACCCCACCCCTGGTAAAGTGTAAGTCCAGAATGGTGCCACTTTGCACTACACACAGTAGGGTACAAGCATGCCCATGTCAGTAATCTTGCAAATGTGGCCTTCTAACTTCTGCACGTTTTCATTGGGGAATGTGGACTCAGTGAAATAGAACTCATGTTTATTAATTCGTATAGCCAGCGATTTAGCTTAGTGGTTCCACCACCTGCCTCGCAAGCTCAAGGTCCTGAGATTGATCCCTGGTACCAAAAAAAACCCCAGAATTGATATTAATTTGTACATTATGAAGACAAGTTGTAAGGGTTTTATTTCTGTAGCTATAAATAATGTTTTCAACTTCCCTTGAGCCTTTGAATCAGGAAAAATAAAAAGTACTGCCAAAGAATTAACATAAGGTTTCAAAGTTTTAGTATTTTTGAACTGATTTAGAACAATATACTTTATGAGTAGCCAGGTTGGTCCAGGGTCTAAAAACTCCCTCAGCAAAAATACAGTTATAGGAGGGGATTTGGTGTTGAAACTAAAAAGGGTTTGGATTGATATGTCACACATATTTGGCTCTTTAGTCACAGGGTTTTACATTAAAGGCCAAAACACCAGTCTGGATTGTACTCTGAGATGAGATGGGGAGGGGTGCTGTGTTTAGGTAACATTGCTATTTCTAGCTACCCAGCCTTGGGAGCAAGCACAGCAGTGTACAACTTCAGAGGTGTCTTTAGTCCCGCCTTCTCCAAGTTCTAAATTATAATTTGAGCCTAGAGCCTTTTTTTTTTTTTTTTAAGAGCCCAGTGGCTCACTGGCTGTAAGGTCTCTGCCACCATCCACATCTGGATGTATCCCTGATGGCCTAATTTCGTGGTCCTCTGCAGCAAGGAACTGTACTGTCACTGCAGGTGCTTCCCTGCTCCTGACTTTGTTTTGCTGACTGCAGTGTCACTCGGTACACATGGTCAGTGTAGGATAAGAGCATAACCTTGTAAGTTGTTTGCAGAATGAGTACAATTGGGGCCGGGGATTTAGCTCAGTGGGACAGTGCCTGTCTGCCAAGTATGAGTTACCCAGTTTGATCCCCACTACCAAAAAACAAACACATTGAGTACAAATGTGTATCCTTCAGTTTTCTGTTCTTGCTGTTTTTTGTGTTTGTTTGTTTTTGCTTAAGACATGATCTCACTATGCAGTTTAGGCAGGCCTTCAAATTACTGGGTAGGCTAGGATTGCCTCAAATTGCAACAATCCTCTTGATTCAGCCTCTCAAGTTCTGGTATTGTAGGTGTGCACCACAATGCTGGGGCTCTTTGAAATTTTTTATTATTACATGTTTAAGTACATAATCATGTTCATCATGGGGAATTGGTACGTGTGCATAGCACATCTTGTTTTTATTTCCCCTTCTCCTTCTCTCCCTCCTCCATCCATCTTTCACTCCCTTCCCATTTGTAAAAGATCTATCTCCCTTTTTTCCTATCATCCAACCTTAATTTTCTTCTATTATTTTTTCTTTTCCCTTCCTTCCCTTCTCTCTCCCTTGTTCTCCTCCTTCCCATTTACCTTCTAGTCTCTTTTTTTTTCTTTTTCCCCATTTCCTATCCATCCTTTGTTTTGCATTTTAAATTGTTTATACTTTGGGTTCCTCATATAAAAGAAACCATGTAATAGTTAACCTTGAGTATCTAATTTATTCCACATAACACTGTGCTGTCAAGCAGCATCCATTTTCCTATAAACACTTAAATGTATCCTTTTTTATGGCAGAGAAGTACTGCAATATTTATACATACCACATTTTCTTCCTACCCGCCCCCTGGTACCAGGGTTCGAACTCAGGACCTTGTGCTTGAGAGGGAGGTGTAGTACCACTGAGCTAAGTTCCCCACTCCAATGCTATGTTTTCTGTATCCATTCATCTATTGATAGGTGGGTTTTTAAAAAAATGTATCTGTATGCCAGGTGTCTTGTTTTCCCCTCTAGTCAACTCCTCTAGTCTCTTCCTGACAGTACTCTGGCCTAGAGATTAATTTATAGCAAGAGGAACCTTTGAGCCTGGCATCCACTCAGGTTGGCCCAGTAAGCAAGGGCAGGAGAGTTGGCAGAAAGAGGAGGAGGGAGGGAGGAAGCGAGTGGGGCTGCTGATATTTATCCTGCCTTGTCTCTGGACCTCCTTTTAGGACAGCTGCTGGGCCCAGTTCCTAGACCTCTTCCCTGTTCAACCTATGAGCAACGTAGGTTTAGTTTGGGTTTTTGAGATGGGATCTCACTGTGGATTCTAGGCTGCTCTTGAACTCATTATGCAGCTCAGGCTGGCTTTGAATGTACTGTGATCTTCTTCCCTCGGCTTCCAGAGTGCTGGGTTCCAGTAATACATAACCGTGCATGGCATGGTTCCTGTCCCAACCTCACTCCCCACTCCCCACCACACCTTCTTGATTCTACCTTTGATTATTCTACAGTTACAAAATATGCTCCCAAATATCCTTGAGTGTGGTGACCTGGCATCCTTTCCCTTAGAGAAGTGGTTAAAAGGCTCAGTTAGAAAACATTTCTTCTATATACTGTGGGAAAGTTTGTCCTAGGTTTTTTGAACATCTTACTAAGGTTGACTCACCTGTCTACTCTTTCCTCTTGAAATGATTAGCTGTTGTTTTGCTTCACTCTGTCTTAAATTCTGAATAATCAGTGGGAACCAGCTGCTTTTGTAAATAAAGTGGGGACAAGGGTTTGAAGGGAGAGGAATGGGGAAAAAAAGAAGAAAGATACATCACATATTTAATTCCTGTGGGAATACACACAGAAAGGGAACAGCTGGGTCCAATGGGACTTCTAACCTTAGGTTAAAATGGGAGACACTCGTGTAAATACTGAATTGTTTCTCTGGTGTAAATGAGGACCAGAATGTATAATAGATATGTGAAATAGGAAGAAAATATTCAAAGGGGAAGGGGAACAAAGCGGGGGTGGGGGTAGAAAGGAAAGAAAATAAGGAAAAAACGGAAACAAAGCTTATGTGTATAGGGAGGGGTGGAGAGGTTGAAGGGAGGACAGGGGAATGGGGAAAACTAACCAAGATACATCATGTACAGATTTCACATGATGAATATGATCATAATGTATACCTAAAATGTACCAATAAACTCAATAAGTATATAGAAAGATACATCACGTACAGGTACAAATTCTACAGGATGGATGTGATCATTATATTTATCTAAAATGTACCAAAAACATTCATTTTTTTTTTTTTAAAGAGCAAGACAGCTATCTCTTGGAAGGGGCTGAGATAGAGTGGGGTGAACAGCCATCCTGATAAAAATTAAGAGTAGACAGTGAACTAGGACTGTGGACAAACAATGCATTGCCTCAGGCAGCATGGGAGGCAGACCACTCCCTAATAAAGGGAGGTGCAACCAGTCCCTACTAAGATCCGGAATTTCTACAAAATTGTAATGCAAATTAACCAGTTCCTTCTGAAATCTCTATTGGGCCAGGGATTTAGCTCAGTTCTACCACCTGCCTTGCAAGCAAGGGCAAGGTCCCCGAGTTTGACCTCCAAAACAAAAAGAAATAAATCAAAACAACAAAAAAGGAGGTATGAGGTCTCAATCTATTGTACATACTTGTGTGAGTGAATTGGACTAAAAACCCTGAGTCTCGATCATTTCAAATCTAGAGCCACCTGTGATAGGTGGCCACTAAATAAGCAATTCCTGTACCCAACTCGCATATACGTAATTCTAAATTGAGAGAATTCCTTGTGAAACCTGGAAATCCAGGAGCCATTCTCCTCCTTATTTCCAATACACCTTCCCTAACATAAAAAACCAAAGCAAACAAAATACAAACCAAGTGGATGGAGAGGAGGAAGAGGCCCAAGTGAGTGAGAAGAATCGCCCAGGACCCATAGACCTTGGACAGGTACAGCTCTGCCAGGGAGCACAGGTGTGACAGATCTTGCTTTTGAGGAAGGAACATGGACTCTGCCCCTTAGTGAATGAGCCCAAGGCAACAGGCACAGTCCAGAGGTTCCTAGCAGAAGTGTGCAGAAGACCACCTGGACTCAGAGAAGACCTGATGTGCTGAGTGAGTGGTGGTGCATCCTAAAGAAAGCAGGAGGAAGGTGGCAGCCTCCTCTGAGTGAGGCCTGTGGACCCATCCAGACCCTGCCTTGCCCTCCAGGTTACTTCTGCAAAGATCACATGGGTGAATGTACCGGGGCTCCCTGCTGAGGTACAACTCAGCTCCTTGACCTTGGGATTTATGATTAACATATTTTCCCAGAAGCCAGTGAGGTGGCACCCAGGTCTGCTTCCCAGAGCTGGGGCAGACCCTGGACACTGTCTTCTCAGTGCCAGGTGGAGGCTGAGGGCTTGGGCCACCGTCTGTCAGCTCCGTGGTAGAGCAGGTAAGTGGACAGGGGGGTAAGGTGAGGGCTCTCCATGTGGACCGGGAGCCCCTGAACATTTCTGGGGATCTCAAGGCCGAGCCATTTTGGAGTTTGGCCCCTTTTGCCTTCTCAGCAGGAGGATTTGTTGATCTTTCTCTGGGGGACATGGAATTTCTGTGATGGATGGAAACTGGGGAGAGAACAAAGGCCTGAAGACATGGGGTCTGGTGCACCAGGTGCCATCCCAATAAACCAAGAAGCCCAGAGAGACAATGAAAGGATAAGGAAGGGGGAGGGGAACACAGAACGGTGTCAGTGCTTCATGTACGTTATTCTGTTCAATCCTCAACAGTGTGTTGCTGTGCTTTTCAGATGAAGATACACAAGCTCCGAGATGTTAAGTGACGTGCTCAGGGTCGCACAGCAAGAAGGAAAAGGAACCAGTGTTCTGATCAGGTGTTTTTGATGCTCATCTTCTCATAGTGGCGGTTTCCTGTCTGTTGGTGCAAAAATTACTGGGCAAGCAAGACCTTTCAAATTAGGAAAAAAAAAATGTGCCTTTTCTTAAGCCTGACTCAGCCACTAACAACGCTTTTGCATAGCATCAGAGAGAACTGTACAATAATTCATGGTGGGCAGTCCTGACCAGGTACAGTGTTCCCTGCACCACTGTGTCTGGTGACCAGTTAGTTCCTTTCCAGGATCATCCACATGCCTCTGGGCCTGTATCTTTGTACTCTAGACTCCTGATTCATGGTCCATGTGCAGAGAGAATGATGACTATGCATGCACACCCCACACCTTGTTCATTTAGTTTGCTGCTAAGAGCATGTCTGTGACTCCCCTTGCTCCTGGAATAGAATCCACACCACATATGCTGCATGTGGACACCTGGGTGCCCTCACCTACTCCTTCCAAAGGCAGTTTGGTCAGCCTCCTTTCCCCAAACCTGTGTCTTTCTTCTTCTCTCTCTGTTCAGACCTCTATTCCTCATCCTGAGGAGTCATCTCACTGTCTACTGAGGCCAGCTTCTTCATGTCTGTTTCTCCTGGCTCTTACCACACCTGGGAGGGCCTCCACCTGCATCCATATACTGAAATCTCAAGAGGATCTTCTTCCCTGGATGACCGCATATCACTGCATCTTGGCCTTATCACAAGTTCACGCTTGTCCCCTGCTGCATAGTGAGAATGAGGGAAATCCAGAGGAGTCTGCTGTCCTCTGCTCAGGGAGTCTCAAGAGGAGAAAGCCAACACCTTCAGAGTCCTTTGCAGATATTACATACAGGTAGGCTTGAGCACATTAGCAAAAAGCAGGAGTCCCCTCAGTAGAAGATAATTCCATGGAGAAGCAACTGCCCTCTGGTTTGCTTTTCCAGGTTTAGAGTTAGGAGTTCAGCTAAAATTTCTGAGCAGTGTGATGGCGGTGACTCTAAGCCAGCACCTGGGCCTATGGCATCTGCCTACTGTCCTAGTGCCTGTTATCTGGGTGTAAGCTCTGCTGGGGCCCGCAAAGAACATGTATGATAGAACAGGAGCATCCACACAGTCCCTGAGGGGCTGAATGGAGGAGAGGAAGTGTGTGGCCGCTGTTTCTTGATGTGTGACTGCACCACCAGGTGCTTTGGAAGAAGTGCAGCTGTGAAGGACTTTGTTACTGAGCCAGGAGACCTGGAAGCTGGCCCGAGATAAGAGAGCCCCAGGCCAAGACAGGGTTTCAAGGCTCCTACCACATATGTGCACAGAATCGTCGTAAAGTGTGCACAGGGCTTAGTATGTTGCATGATAGGAGATGAGGCTGAAGAAAGCAGGAATTGGTCCAGGCTCTCATGAGAGTGATGACAGATTCCATATCCTTCTACAAGATAATTCTCCAGGGATCAAAAGGTGAATCACAGAAATGAAAGCTTCCTATTCTTGCACTTTCCTACCACTGGACCTTGCTCTTTATGATTAAAATTATTCATGAGCCAAGCAACGAATGGCATTCAGATCTGCTGTGCAGAAGTGGGGCAGACCCCAGACAGTCTCTTCCTGGAGTCTGTTAGGAACTGAAGGCTGAGGCCACCCTGCACACTGTTGCCTCTCTGGTAAGAGCTAAGAAGTAACGCATACAAATTCAGGCCTCTCAGTGTGGGCCCAAAGATCCAAAGGGTCTTGGGGATCTCAAAATTGGGCCATATTGGTCCTTGAACCTTTTACCTTGTCAGCATCCAATACATTTACACTTAGGTCAAAGAGATTTTGCTCTGTCTCCTGCTAGAGAATACAGGAATATTGCCATAGATAGACCCTAGGAAGAGAGCAAAGGGGCTAGGGCTGAAAGGTCTGGCTGTCACACGTGTCATCTCAATATACCAAGAGCTTCAAAGAACCAGTGAGTAGTGTATTGCAGTTGCAGTGGAAGGGAATGTATACAGCAGCACTTCATATAAGTTATTGTGTTAAAGCCTCAAAGAATTCTACAAGGCAGGGTGCTTTTCTCTTCTCTGGTGCTGGTGGCCTGCTTCCTTTGGGGCCACAGCAGAAGGACACACACTGAGCAAGGTTTCCATTGTGCCTGGGTGACCAGGAGTGGTTGGGTCCTCACACAGCTCTCCCTCTTCTGCAGGGCTGCAGGGAAGTCACACAGGCAGCTTTGGCAATCCCTGGAGGACTGAAGTGGTAGACACACAAGTGGCAACATGACTCCTCATCACATCCGCACATATCGGGAGAGAGACCGAAAACCAGTCCTGGACTTGTTCTGCAGGGGCATGACTGAGCATGTCCCTGCCACCTTCCGCCACATGCTGATGCTGCCTGGAACCCTCCTGATTGAGCTCGGGGTGCCCCTCTCCCTGCTCCTGTTCTCTGGCTCCTGGCTCCTGGCGATCACGTCCAGCCTCACTCTGCTGCTCTTGTTGTGGTTCCTCGCCAGATACAACTGGAAGCTGTATGTGGCCACATGTTTGCGCACAGACATGGCTGACATCACCAAATCCTACCTGAGTGCGTGCGGCTCCTGCTTCTGGGTGGCCGAGTGTGGGGGGCAGGTGGTGGGCACTGTGTGTGCTCTGCCGGTGAAGAATCCCCCACTGGGGAAGAAGCAGTTGAAGCTGTTTCACCTCTCAGTGGCTAAGGAGCACCGAGGAGAGGGGATAGCGAAAAACCTGGTCAGGACTGTCCTCCAGTTTGCCCGGGACCAGGGCTATGTTGAAGTCGTGCTTGAGACAAATATAATACAGCGCAGTGCCCTGGCCCTATACCAGGGCATGGGCTTCCGGAAGACGGGCCATTATTTTTTAAATATAATCTGGAGGCTGGCAGGTATTCCTATATTTCATTTATTGTACCAACTCCCTTCTGCTCGGGAAGGGGGCTTGTGATCTCTTCCTTTTGTATTAACAAAAACCTGATTGACTGTGCTATAATCACAAAGTATGACATTTCTGTCTTACAAACCATAAACTCTGATTGTCTGATCTGAGCTGGGCACGTGTGATGGTGTTTTGCAGGCAGTTGCCGCTCTCCTCCATTGTCTTTGTGCATTGCCCCTCCTCATGTTTCTAGTGTCACGATAATGTTGCTTTAAAAACGACCACAGCACAATACCAGACACACGTTTTCTCTGAAGTTGGGTCTGCAGTTTCTGCTGGTTTTGGCTCACACCTCACTGGTCTCAGGACATCTGTGCAAATGTGTTGGGTTGGCTTCAGTGCTGGGGATCTGGGCACCATCCTGTACCAGTTGCCTGAGACAGGGTTCAAGGTCCCAAAGAAGAGTCAAAGTAACCCTAGAAAAGAAGCCAGGCTTTTCCAAACCTGTCTCTAACACGAGCTTCAACCACAGGGCAAGGGGTTGAGATTCAGTCCTATGAAAAGATGTGGGTAGCAATATGCTGCATCTTCTCTCGTCTCCAGTGGGTGAGCAGAAGAAGGAAGGCAGGCAGGGCTTGCAGTACAGGATGTTTTCACAAGGAGGCCTCAATGTATTTGGCCCTCAAACTAGTGGACCTAGCTGGAAAATCAAAGTAGGGTGTGTTTGTGTGTGCACAGGAAGAGGGGATGTCGATGAAGTGACTGTCCCAGATCTGACACCATTGGGATCCAACTTGATTCCACTCCAGGTTCCACTACTCTAGAATCATAGCTGCCTTGTCCTGTTAGGGAATTGATCATGTTGATGTATGCTGTGATGCTACCATCACAGGCTGCATTCTCCTGGTACTTTGTGGCTCCTAAAATGACCTCATGCACTTATCTCTGGTTTCCCTCCCCGCAAGGCCACAGTGGTCCAGAGAAGTTAAAACCTGCTTTTGCAGGGCCGGACCCATAAAAAGCAACCTGTCCTGTGCTAGGTAAAAAGTAGCTCACTCCTCATAAATAATCAATAGCCCGGCCCAAAACTGATAAAAGGACCTTCCTTTCTTTGTTCCCCTTCTCTCCTTCTTCCTCCTCTGTCTCTCTGCTCTCTTTCTCTACTCCCATTTCTTTAATAAAATCTCCAGTTGGACCTCTTGTTGTGTGTGTGTGGCCTAGTTGTTGAGCATCACAATTCCCTTTCATTGGTATCAGAAGCCAGATCTTGGATTGCCAGGCCCATAGGTTAACGTATCTGGGGACCCGAAACCCAGATACCAAGACACTCCAACTCAGCCCCCACCCAATGTCCGTGACCACCTTCCTTGGTGCTGTTCTCACAGCCAACACTGATCCACCTGTTTTCAGGCCTCCACCAGATACTGGGTAAGTTCCCCCTTCTGAGACATCTTTCAGGTAGCAGGAGATCCCAGAGTCCTAGACCACCCACGAGGATCACGTCCGGGACAAGGCCGGGGCCCAGACCCTCTGTCACTCAGTTTTGGGAGACCAGGTTTGCCAAATTGATTCCGGGACTCAACTGAGCTCCCCATAAACTCCTATCTTGTGCGAGGGACACCTTCACAAGAGACCGAGTTTCAGATTTCTAGACCGGGTCTAGAAAAAGAGGGGGTCCTGTCAGAACTCTAGGAGATGTCTGGACTTCTGATAACCTCCTGTCCTGGTGGACATGGGCTCTGGCTCTTCCATACCCATAGACTCTCCTTTGGGATGCTTAGTCAGAATTTGGAGGGTCTTGACCTAAAAACCCAAGTGGCTTGTTTGCTTATCCACTCAAATTTGGCCCAAATATCAATTAAAAAATCAAAATGTCTGGCCGCCTAATGGCTCCCTTGAACTGTGTCTAATTCAAGACCTACATAACTTTTGTGAGCATCAAGGAAAGTGGTCAGAGATTCCATATGTCCAGGGCTTTTCTTATCTTAGCAAACAGCCCTCTCTTTGCTCCACTGCCCGGAGACTGTCTCTTCTATCACCTCCTCCCACATTTCTGCTAACCCACAGTTCCTCCGCCACCAACCCCCTCCCTCTTAACTCTTCAGACTAGCTGGACCCGGCCGATGACCCTCCCCCATACCGGGCACCAGGAAACCAACCCACCCCTACTCCTACCCCATCTGACTCCTTCTCTTCTCCTAGATCTCCAACCCCTCTCATTTCCATAATACCTCCTACCGGTACCGCTCCTCCCTCTGCTCCAACCCCACCTCTCACTCGTTCCAATTCTCATATGAGCCACATGATGGCGCCCTTGTGCGAAGTGGCAGGGATGGAAGACAGTCTGTGTTCATACTCCCTTCCCTATGTCTGAATTGGCCCTCATCCAAGCCAGGCTTGGTCCTTTCACTGCCGACCCAACAACCTTTGCAAAACAATTTCAACTCCTGACAGTCTTATCAATTAACCTATCATGATCTTTTTGTTGTTCTCACCAATGCTTTAACTCCTGAAGAAGGCAAAAAAGTGCTGGATCAGGCTCGTGCTCATGCAGATCAGGAACATTTGACAATCACCATCTGGTAGGTGCTCTCACGGTCCCAGCGAGACCCAGGATGGGACTACAACACTGAGGCGGGGATTAAAGCTTGAGACAGGTACATTAATTGTCTCCTCATGAGCTCCGCAGAGCCACTATGAAGTCTGTAAATTATAAGAAGCTTGATGAAATTATACAAGATAAAAATGAAAATCCGTCTGCCTTCTTATAAAGGCTGATTGATGGCCTCTGCCAACATACCAAACTTGACCCTGAGTCTGTCAATGGCCAGAGATTAATCATGATGCATTTCTTTTCTGAGAACTACCCTGACATTAGACTCAAACTAAAAAGCTCCACAGGGGAACTTTGACTCCCCTTGCAGAAGTTCGGGCTGCAGCATTCAAAGTCTATCATGGCTGTGATGATCTCAAGCTCACCAAAAAGTACCAGTTATTGGCAAAAGCCTTCAGTCCTGCCAGGCCACAATTGCCTCAAGGAAAGGGACCCTTCAGAGGGTCCCCTCAACCACTGGGACCCTGTTATCGGTGCAATCAAGAGGGTCACTGGGCCAGAGAGTGCCCAGATCCCAGAGGGCCTACAAAGCCATGCCCTAGGTGCCAACAGAGGGGACATTAGGGTGTCAACTGCCCCCTGGCATCCACCCGCCATTGAGCCGCGGGCCCCGCCATTGAGCCGCGGGCCCCGCCACTCCCCAGAGCGATGACCTGATAGGTCTGGCAGCAGCTGAAGGGCTATGAAGAGGCCCTGGCACAACTGGCCCGACACAGATCACTGCCCAGGAGCCCAGGGTGACCTTGATTGTGGCAGGTAGGAGTATTGTTTTCTTATTGGATACTGGTGACAGCTTTTCTGCATTGAGAGAATATTGGGGACCTACCTCCCTGTCTCAGACCTCTATTGTTGGGGTAGAAGATCAAAAACAACACCCTCAACAGACTCCCCTACTGTCATGCACAACTGGGGACTTTTCATTTCTTCATTCATTCCTAGTCCTCCCATCCTATCCCGTCGTTCCCTTATTGCGTCATGACCTTTTATCCCAAATTGGGGCATCCATTCATTTCTCTATGCCGAGCCCTTCCAACACTCCAATGTCTTCCATTATTCCAAGCTATTGAACCTCCAGTCCCCACCTAACTGCTTGCCATATCTGCTGTTTTTCACTTGGTAAACTTGCCTCTCAGAAAATGTGCTTACCCTTTGGAAGAGGTCCAATTGCCTCTCCTTTTGGTGTGCTTAAAACACTTCTTGTACATTACACATTCTTAGATTGCGATTCTAGGGTTAACTTGCTCTTTCCTAAAAACTCAAGGTTAATACTGTTCTATTGGCAGCCAGTCAAATTTTAAGATATAACAATCTGAGAACAGAAAAAGGACACTTTAAGCTGAAGTTTGTTATAGAAGGTTAATAGTAAATGAGACAGAAAAATATTAGGAAAGCTATAAATAAGAGTTATACTTTTAACATGAAAGGTTTTTTGTATGTTCGTCTTGTTAAAAACAGGTAAAGAAAGATATACAAGACCAGAAGGCCTAAGTATGTAGAGAAGGTGTGTAGAAATTATTTAATAAGAAAATATGTATGTTTGCTTGTTAGTTTCAAGTTTGTTATAAAAGGTTTACATTTACAGTCATAAAGAGCTTTCATTCCTTTTAATCCTAATTCTACAACAGATCTCTGTTATTTTGACCTGACACTCTAGTTTAAATTGTCTTATATGTTTGTCTGTCTAAATGTTATCAAAATGATGTCAAATACAGGTAGACTGTTGATTTCTACATTCTGGTTTTATAGGTTAAATACAAATTTAAAGATAATTAAATATAAACTTTTAAGTTTGGATACACTCCTGTTGGTAAATAAAGAAGCAGCTGCTCAGAAAATTTATTTTGATCTTTATTCACTAATGGGAGCCCAAATAATTTTTATAGCCTTATAGAAAGATATGCCTTATTAAATGTTACTATAACATGTTTATGATAGTTATCTTCAAAATATAATATTTTCTGTATAAAGAAATTCATGTTGTTTATGACAATAACCTTTTGATCCAGATATTCTCCCTTCTCTTCTGCTCCACGTACTTATGGTTACAGGTATATTTATAGGCCCATACACTTTCCTTAGATGGTACCATATCAAAATATAACAACTTAAATAAGTTTCCTGGGTTTTTGTTTTTGTCTATATATATATATATATTTTAAAAAGATAAATACATTTAACAATGGCTATTCTATACTACGATACAAATCTACATTTGTTACCAAGATGTCATCATGATTGTCATGCTAAAATATAATCATTATGTGTGGCTCCTGATTACAAGTTTTTCTGTTAATATTCTACAAAAAAATCAACTACTTAAACAACCATGATTGATAAAATAATAGCCCTCTAACTATATTTTAAATTCCAGGATACTTGCTATCTAGATAGTTATGATAGTTAAACCTCTACTGTACTACTGATGTCACTGATCTTCTCTTCTGGGTGCTCAACCACCAAAGTACAGAGACCAACACTAAAAGGTAACTGGGCTAAGGAGATCACCAATATTTTGGCTTGGCCCTCCAAGGTCATCAAAGATCCAAGGTATGAAGGAACCTTTTCTACAACATCTTACATCTTTGGTAAGTCACCTAACTTCCTGAACAGAGAGATTGCTGGACACCAGAGACAAATGTAATGTGTACTAAAGGAGGGTCACCAAAACAATTCTTCCATGCTTTTACTAAAAGCACCGTGGTCAAGCAAGGCCGGAACCCATCCTAACAGCTGACACTGGGTGCTGAGAGGCCCTATACATGGTTCCAAAATAATGCCTAAAGAGACTTAACTGACCTTTGCTGATAACAAGAGGCTCACATTGATTAACACAGGTCTCACTCTAATTTGGTCTTAAACACCCAGCAGAAAAGAATAACCAAAAGAGACAATCAATAAACAGGCACTAGTGATAGACTTTTTGAGGCCCATTCTCCTCCCAAATATTCCTCTGGATTAAGACATCCCACCCCCTGTAAAGGTTATAAATGTGTTAGTATGGGTCTGTACTTTTTCTAGAGGGCCTGAGGCCTTTCCTATAAAAACAGAGGGCTTCAGAAGTATACAAGATTTTATTAAAAATTTCAAGGTTGGGTCTGCCTCTCTCCATAGACAGTGACAATGGGCCAGCATTTATAACAGAGATTATATAAGATCTAGCTAAACTGTTATACTGCTTATTGACCTCTGAGTTCTTGTAAGGTTAAAAAAATGATAAATGGTACCATTAAGGTAAATATTGTCAAATAACACTGGGTTATGAGTTGATTGGCTCCCTTTGGCCTTCTTTAAAGCAAGAGATACCCCAAGTCATACTGGGTTCTCCCCATATGAGGTCTTATTTGGAAGCCCCCCCCTTGTATCTTGAGAGACTTTATATATGAAAAGGGCCATATATAAGACACTTCTGGTTACTCCCACAGCTGTCAAAGTTCAGCTACCACCACTCTAAAGTAAAACAGGTCTATCCAGAGAACTTCACGGGCTTTGACTCCAGGAGA